CATTCATCTGTCAGTTTGTTGTACTGTGGTGGCTTGTAAGTTGCTGTGATTCTGAAAGCTATGTCACCAGTATTTTAAATACCAGCAGGGTTACCCATGGTGGACAGGTTTCAGATGAACTTCCAGATGAAGACATTTATATGCTGGAGTACATAAATTATTTCTAATCCTCATAGCAATCCTGAAAGTCAGATATTATTTCCACTTGTTTGATCTCAGGTTCCCACTTAATGAGCTTGGTATCTGTTTGCCCCATAGAGTTCACACAAAATGATAACAACGGAGATTTAAACACTGATGACCTCAAAGGCTCTATTCTTTTAAATTAAAAGTTCAGTAAAATACTTTTAAATACACATATGTACCTACCTCTACTTCTTTATATACAGTTAAAATCAGCAACTATATGTCTAAGTTTACAAGGCTGCAAATCAAAAAAAGTTATATGCTATTTAGAGAGACAATGCAATGCCTAATTTCCTATATGACAGCTCTAACACTTACTAGTTGTGTGATCTAGGGCATGGTATCAAACCTCTCTCATCTATAATTATTCCCCCTCTATTATTAGTAGCATTATCTAGAGCAAGGGTGAAAGAAAAATCAAAGAAATGAAGGACAAGCATGACTAAATGCCAGAGCTATGAATAATTAATCTAACTTGGATTTTCCTAATTAAATTTTTGAAGAAACTCTTGGTTTTCTAGGTACAGAAATGTACCCAGTAATTTGGGGTTAAAGGCTTTTAACAACCTGCAGGCCATAATAAACCTAGAATTACTGCTATTAGAGAGGTGATATAGCACAGTGGTATGGCACTGTGGGCTAACGCATCAGACTGCAAAGTCGTTTGAACTGCAAGATCGGTGGTTCAAGCTCACCAGCTGCTCCTTGGAAACCCTATACAGGGTTGCTATGGGTCAGAATTGACTCAACGGCACTTAACAACAACAACAACATAGCACTGTGGGTAAGATCATTCTGGAGTCAGATTGCCAGGATTTGAATCTTAGCTCTACCAATGACTGGCTTACTAACCTTGGGGGAGTTATTAAACCTCCACATGCAATAGCTTCCTCACTTGTAAAATGGGGGATAACAATACCTACCTCATGGTTGTCGAGGATTAAATGAGTTACATTTATGAAAAACATCCAGTATCTGCTATTATTTCCTCTTTACTACTACCAATATCGGAGTCCTGGTGTGGCACTATGGGTTAATGCTCCAGGCTGCAAAGCCATTTGAACTGTAAGGTTGGTGGTTGAAACTCACCAGCCGCTCCTTGGAAACCCTATACAGGGTTGCTATGGGTCAGAACTGACTCAACAGCACTTAACAACAACTACCAATATCACCATAACTAGCTAACTTTTACTGAATACTTACTATGTGCCAAGAATTGTTCCAAGTGCATTACATATTTTAATTTTCTCAACAACCCAAAAAAGGTAGTTACTAATACTACCTTAGGAGCCCTGGTATGGCATTATGGATTAATGCACTTAACTGAAAAGTCAATTTGAACCTCAAAGTTGGCAGTTCAAGTTCAACAGCTGCTCCTCAGAAACTCTATACAGGGTTGGTTCAACAGCTGATTACTCAGAAACCCTATACAAGGTTGGTATGGGTTGGAACTGACTCAATGGCACTTAACAACAACAATAATACTACATTGTCCTGGTGTGGCACTGCAGGATAATGCACTGGATCACAAGGTCAGTTTGAAATGCATGGTTGGCAGTTCAAATCTACCAGCTGCTCCTTGGAAACCTTATAACCATAGGGTCACTATGGGTCAGAACCAACTCAACAACACTTAACAATAAGAATACTATTCACACCTTGCCAAGAAGGAAAGAGTCAGAGAGATGCTTAGCTATTTGCCCAAAGTTACTACAGACTGTAGACAATTTACCAAAGTAAAGACACTACTTTCTCAGTCCTTTCCATGGAATGTTTTTTCCAAGGGGACAACAACATTTGCCACACTAAGATGTCTGTTTTAAGGTTTGTTAGACAGGGGCAGATGAGGTCACGGTACTGGGAGTGAAAAGTAAGACTGCTACTTGCCTATGTTGCATACAGATTAGAAGACATATTTCCCTATTTACTTTATCTCCTTTCCCGTTCTACTTATAAAATAGGTATTTATGTTTTAAAATGAAGATAATTCTGCAAATTTTAAAGGAACATAGTTTCAGAGTGTTGCTACAATAGAAAGTAAAAAATTAACAGTGAACCAATCTTAGTGATTCTTTACTCGTGATCTGCTTTGTTGATACCTCCTATATTTTGGAAACCCTACTACTTTTAGAGGAAGGCCTTTGTTAAGTGCTCTATGAATTATGGTAGATAAGCTTGGCATATAACAGTATTGGAAAAGGTGAAAGATTACCCTTTCTGTTCTATCGGCACAAAACAACCGAGTGTGATGTCTCTTCTGAACTACAATGTAAGTTATTCCAGGTTGATAGTCTTTCTCCAAACTGATGCATGCTTCTCGAATTGCTAGTAGTTCATAATATAATACCTAAAGAAAATGAAACAGAGAGATTTGAAAGCTGTGCCATTTTACATGCTTCAAAGTAAGGTGATTATTTAATCTCAGGACTATTTTATCTCCATTTAGTAGACAAATATACTTTTCTATTCTATTTTAGCAATTATCAGGGGATGGTCTTATCAATCAAAGCTTGTTGCTGTTGTTAGGTGCAGTGTAGTTAGTTCCAACTCACAGTGACAGTGAGTTTACGTACAACGAATGAAATACTGCTAAGTCCTGCACCATTCTCACAAGTGTTACATTTGAGCCTATTGTGGTTACCATTGTATCAATCCATCTCTTTGAGGGTCTTCCTCTTTTCTGCTGACTTTCCACTTTACCAAGTATGATGTCCTCCTCAAGGGACTAGTCTTTCCAAATAACATGTCCAAAGCACGAAAGACAAAGTCTTCCAATCGTCGCTTCCAACAAGCAATCAGTTGTATTTCTTTCTAAACAGATTTGTTTATTCTTCTGGCAGTCCATGGTACTTTCAATATTCTTTGCCAACATCAAATTCAAATGCATCTATTCTTTTATGGTCTTCTGTATTCATTGCCCAGCGTTCAGATGCATCCAAGGGATTGAAAATACCATGGCTTGAGTCAGGCACACCTTAGTCCTCAAACTGACATCTTTACTCTTTAACATTTTAAAGAGGTCTTGTGTAGCAGAGTTTCCCAGTGCACTATGCTGTTTGATTTCTTGACTGCTGCTTCCATAAGTGTTGATTGTGTATCCAAGTAAAATGAACTCCTTGACAACTTCAAGCCTTTCTCTGTTTATCATGAATATTATTTATTGATCCAGTTGTGAGGAATTTTGTCTTTACATTGAGGTGCAATCCATACTAAAGTCTGTGGTCTTTGGTCTTCAACAGTAAGTACTTCAAGTCCTCTTCAGTTCCAGCAAGCAACATTTGCCATCTGAATATCACAGATTGTTAGTGAGTCTTCAACCTATCCTGATGCCAAGGGCTTTTTCATATAATCCAGTTTCTTAGATTATTTGTTCACCATGATGAAAGGATACAACTTTGGTACATATCTTTCCTGATTTTAAACCATCAATTATCTCCTTGTTCTGTTTGAAAGACTGCTTCTTGGTCTATATACAGGCTCTTTACGAGTACAATTAAGTGTTCTAGAATTCCCATTTGTGATAGTCAAGGGTTTGTGTCAACTTTGGTTGGGTCTGAATTCTCAGTGGTTCAGTAGTTAAATCTCCTATGATGAGACAGATCATGTTTTGGCTGATGATGTTGAGCTATTCCATTGTCTCTTTTCACAGATGTTGTTGATTTTATTCAGTTGTGTTCCATCTGGCAAGGTCCACATGCATAGCCATCATTTGTGTTGATGTAAAAAGGTATTTACAATGAATATCTTTGTCCTTGCAAAATTCCATCACGTGATCTCCAACATCATTTCTATTACTTCCATCATTGATCTCCAGCATGGTTTCTATCACTAAGGCCATAATTTCCAACTACAAATCCTTCCTCTTTGTTTTTAACTTTCACATTCTAATCATCAGTAATTATCAATGCATTCCGATTGCATGTTTGATCAATTTCAGATGAAGAAGTTGGCAGAATTCTTCAGTTTCTTCATTATTGGCTCTTGTGGTTGGTGCGTAAATCTGGATAATAGTGGTATTAACTTGTCTTCCTTGTAAATGTATGGATATTAACCAATCACAGATTGTACTGCAAGATAGATCTTGACATGCTCTTTTTGATAATGAATGCAGCACCATTCCTCTTTGTCATTCCCAGCACAGTAAACCATAATGGCCAATATCAGTCTATTTCAGCTCACTAATGTCTAGGATATTGATTTTTTATGCATTTAATTTAGTTTTCGACAACTTCTAATTTTCCTAGATTCACAGTTCATACATTCCATGTTCTGATTATTAATGGATGTTTATAGCTATTTCTCTTCATTTTGAGTTGTGCCATCAGCAAATGAAGGTCCTGAACGCTTAACTCCCTGTGCATAACCACAGTCAACTCTACTTTCAGGAGGCAGCTCTTCCCCAGTCACATTTTGAGTGCCTTCCAACCTGAGGGGCTCATCTTCTGGCACTGTATATGTCAATATTCTGGTGCTCTTCATCATGTTTCAGTATTCAATAATCAGGTGCTGACAATGTTCCTCTGCTGTTCGTAAGATTTTCAATGACTAAATATTCAGAGGTAGTTTGTCTCTCCTCCCTAGTCTGTCTTCATCTGGAAGCTCATCTGAAACCTGTCCACTGTGGTTGACTCTGTTGGTATTTAAAATACCAGTGTCATAGCTTCCACAATCACAGCAACATACAAGCCACCACAGTATGACCAACTGATGAGTAGTGAAATCAAAGTTTACAAATCTTCATCCCAGTGATTTGCAAATTATCTTAAAAACAAAAATCTAATGAAACATCAAATTTTGACTTTAGGAATTCTCAACTAAGGCTTAGCTTCAAAACTAGATATCGTATTATAAACATAATATTTGATACAACTGAAGTATAATGAGATCTCAGGCAACCAACCTGTCTAAACTGTCCCTCTGAGACACCATCTCGATAAAAGATGATACGAGTAGGTTTGAATCGAGTTGACTTATAAAATTGAATGAGAAGTTCCCGAACCATAGAGGCCAAGTCCTGGATGATTTCCTGTCGGGGTCTCTGAACTCTTACTGTGGCACAGTATCTGCTTGGATGGGCATCCATACTACCAACAACCTAAATTGGAAAAAGAAAATAAAAATAGAAGTTTAGACTGAAACAAAGTGGATTTACATTTATATTTTATTATAATCCTACTATTTATCACTGTTGTCTTTAATAATAATAAAAAATAGACTATTCCCAATAAGAGGAACTCTGGTAGTGTACTGGTTACAAATTGGGCTGTGAACCTCAAGGTCAGCAGTTCAAAACTACCAGCTGTTCCCCAGGAGAAAGCTGAAGCTTTCTGTTCCCGTAAATATTTACAACCTTGGAAACCCTGTGCAGGGTCGCTATGAGTCGGTTCTGACTCCACGGTACATCGCCACCACCACCATTCCCAATAAAGGTAAAAATAAAAGGCCCCAGTATAGAGTAAAAAACAATTCTCCTATAATGAGGCTGGCATTTTACATTTAATAACTCTATATATGTTACTGAAGGAAGGAGTCCAAGCTGCACTGAAGACAGTGATGAAAAACAAGGCTCCAGGAATTGACAGAGTATAAACTGAAATCTTTCAGCAAACTGATACAGCACTGGAGGCATTTACTTACCTCTGCCAGGATATATAGAAGACAGCCACCTGGCCAACTAATTGGAAGAGATCCCTATTTGTGCCCATTCAAAATAGAAGTGACCCAATGGAATG